CGTCAGAGCCTACAACTTCTGTATAAAAAATTTTCGCTAGCGTCAATAATTAATTGGATATTTCCTTCTATACTTTTTAGCACGTAGCTATTTATTATTAGCATTGTTCTTCGGATGTCTGATTTCTTTTTAATTATAGGAAATGCATTTTTCTAAAATACATAAACTTTTGGGATTGACTGTATAGTCAATACATTCTTAATCTTTAACGAGTAAAGTTGGAAGAGAATTGCATAGGACCTTTTTTGCGCCCGACAACTACAGTTATAACTTTTGTTGGGGGTATTTTTGTTAAATTTCATCAAAGAGGAAACTGTATAATAGAGTGACGAAGCTTTTGTACAGGGATATTTGGAAAATGCCTTTAGATTTATAAATTCATTAATCAAGTGTTTAAATACAATTGAAGTATGAAATTGAAGTCGTTTTATAGATGCCTAATTGATTTTTTATGTCGACCAAAGCGTACAAACTGATTCGTTGAATTATAAAGATACGGATATCGAGCTCTGTCGTATTATACTGCAATTGACAGCTTTACAAATTGTATCGATGTACACAGAGAGAAGAAGGTAGAATGGAATCAACAGGAGCAGAACAGACAGTACAAGGTGGACAGAGAATAAGTTAATTGATATAATTACACGTAGAAAAATTACAAATATTTTGTCATGCAGTATACAGATACATTGCTAATAGAAAATCAGTTCAACAAGACCATTGGAATCTGATCGGCACTTGCACGCTTCATTTTTCATGTACGTAGCGACTCTGTTCATGAACTCTGATGAATACGACGGCAAGTGAAAGCGAAAGACTCATTTTTATTCTTGTTTCATTACGCTCGAGTAATTTGTTTAACGCGAATAAAGTATCGGGCGGGCACGTGGGTCGAACGGCTAGGCGTAACGAGCGAGTGGTAAGAGTCAACGTTTGGGGAGACATGGAAGAATTAGAAGTTCGTCCGATCGAAACTAAATCGCGGCGATCGATTTTCGAGTGAAATTAATGAATGAGAAGGATGCGGCCCGGGTGCGAATCAACAAACGAACAAAAGCCGATGCACGCTGGCTTACACCCACGCGATGAACACAGAGAAAATGAGGAGACACTCGACGTTCCCGATCGCATGGAACGCAGTCAAAGTTCAGGACGTATGGGGGTGTAGAAGGAAGAGCGGGCAAAAGGGAGGGTGTTAGTCACTAGAGAGAACAGGTATCTGCCGTAGGCGTCGTACGTTCATTGATAAGCGTATAACGCCCCGTGCCTTAGACTCGTGACGTCATACAATCGCACGAACGCTTGCGCTCCTGTCAGGGCCGTGCCTACACCCCGGTTCTTGCCCCCGCATTTTTTTTCCCTTCGATCCCCGACTACGTGAGTCAGTCGCGACTCCTACGGTCGCGGGTGATAAATGACAATTCGACGATTAAATATAGACATGCGACGTTTCTCCTCCCGTGAATCGAGTCGCATTACGTAATTCGATACGGGGTCGCTGTAGGCTGCGAACGCGAACACGAACAGGGGATGGAACGCGCGACGAACGAGGGATGGAACGAAACTTATTTGTCAATGATAACGCAAAAGTCGTGTACAGCGGTATTCATCGAGCGGATGCAGTGGGAATTCTTCCACCGTTCTGAAAGTGTTACGAGCACTCGCGTCGGATCGGAACCATGAGAGCGCAAGAAGGACGGAGAGTGAGATTCTCGGTAATTAAGGGCTTGCGAAATTCTCGTAGACCCACGGAAACCCCCGGTATCCCGAAATACTTTTATCTTATTCCCGGATCAAGTTCGTTCCGTTGAAAAATAGAATTAAACGAAACAGATAGAACGGTGGCACGTTCTAGATAGAATGGTAGACACGTAGGTACGGTGAGTAAGTGGACGGACAGAGGGATGGAGTCCCGACCCGTGGAGGGGTTCGGTCCGAAGGGGAAGAAACGATAAAGACGGGTGAGATGGAAAAAAGATAGAGGAAGACGGCCGAAGGAGTGAAAGAAGACGGGAAGATCGGTGGATCGTCTCGCGCGTATTGATTGGTCTTTTGTGAAAGCTACACCCCCATGTAGTCACGAGGCGAACCATTCCACCATACCCTCCGACCTCCGGCGTATATCGCGCGGTCTTCGCTCGACCCTTCCGCGACATGCCGTGTTCCGTGATTCCCGGTTCGTACCACGTTTCTCCCTTGATCCCTCACCGGTAGACGATCGCCGACGTCGTGTCGATATTGGTAACGTGTATGAAAACGATTCGCGCTCCGACGGGGGTCGACTCGGGCAGCAGAGGGGAAGCGTATGTTAGGGTGCTATATCAGGGTAGCGATGACGTAAGCGATCGCGAACGATCCCTAGCCGCGAAGGGGTTCTATATCGGAATCGATCGTGGAGTGACCCATATCTGGCGGTGACGGGAGTCCCTACCCTTGGCTGCCTTTCCAGCGGTGGCACCCCTCGCTACCTTTCCTCTCCTCTCCCTTTCTCTCTTTTTCCCGGTCCTCCATCCCCTCCAGGCGAAACGTATCCCCGCCGAGGACCGTTCTCTACCCCCACTGGTTGTTCCACCCTTCGGCGGACGGGCGAACGTACACCTCCTCCCCCGATTTCCAGCAGCCCTGCCGCCTGCCTTCCACGGCCGAGCAGATCTTGGGGCTTGTACGGGATGATAGCCGAGTGAAAAAGCTCGCGACTCCCGTAAAGTTCGCTCATCAGCAGCAGCAGCCCTGGCCTACCACAATCCCTTCGACTCGGTTATCGTAAGTGTCCGTGCGCTATCCCTTGTGAAACGAACAGCGGAATCGGGAAAGAAACTCGGAAACGAGAGAGGGTGAGAGAGTGTGGCCGAGCGTATGAGAGAGATCGTGCGAGATCGGAACGACAGAGAGAAAGAAGACGAGTTTATTAGCTTTGATCGAGGAATGAAAGGGGAAAAAAAGGGATAAATAGAGCGAGCGGAAGGGTACGCGGACGCGTATGCGTGAAGGGAACAAAGAGGGTTACGACGACAAGTGTTCGTGTGCATCTGTAAAAGTGTCCAAGCGGAAGGTTTCCTCGAGGGCTACCGGAACCGGACACGATAGAGCACGGTACCGTTGTAAAGCTAGCCAAGTGCGGTAACAAAACCGATGAAACGGAGGAGAGTCCGATCATGGGAAAACGCGGTCCGTAACGAATGGGGAACAGTGTGTCAGTAACGGAACGGAGACGCGGTGGCACAGTTATCATCACGGCGATCGGTATCATCATAGTGAAATCTAAGGGTACCGCTGATCGCGTCGTCGCCGCTGATACTCGTGGTGACGGTCATAACCAATTCACAGTGATACACGGTGATCGCGCTACGTATCTTCGTGCAGTGATGTCCCGAGCACACCGGGTGTATATGTATACTACGTACCATCGGTAGTGAGATCAATAAGCAGTGCCGTGCCACTCGACCCGTGCGAACGAAAAGTCATTCGGAATCTCTCTTTACGTTTTTCCCTCCGAACCACTGCCAGCTTCGATCCCGTTCTTCTTCTACGAGAGAGCTCTCATTCGTTTCCTTTCTGAATTTTGTTTCGTGTCTCGAGATTCGAATCGATCCTTCCTTCAAAGGCCTTAATTTTTTTTTTTTAACGCATTTCTATGCACCGGCGTTCCTTCCTACACCGTTGGTTTCCTCGTCCGTGCACTTCGACCTTTTATTACTCCGTTCGTTCCAAGATCATTCGGTAGGTTCTATACTCTCTTTTTAACGCACAGCATTATTTTTCTCTCGGTCTCTTGAAAATGCACAGCAATACGTTTATTCTCGCATTCAGTATGCCTCGTATCTTACAGTAGATTGCGCCATTTAGTCAGACCGTTACGACACGCAATTTGACAATTCCAAATAGAAATTAATTCGCGTAATTAGATAAAAAAGTGAGCACGAAGAGACACGGTCTTCGACTCGTTGCAATATCTATGCACGGAATACTATAGCTGGTCCGACTCGTCTGACTATATCGTACGGTAATACCACTTGCGCCAAAATTCTTCGCTGGATTAAGATGTCTCCCCTGACCGTGACTGAATTACTCAAGTGCGATGGTTCAACCGGTGAAATCAAGCCGTCGTCCTCGTAAAACGAAGCGAACCCCTCAGTGAAAGTTGACTTTAAACACTTTAAGGGAAACGGTTCGAAAGGTGACGGAATTATCGAGCAGGAACGGAGCCACGCTTGGACACTTTTTTCCGCGACACTTGTCGTACGATCGAACGGGGTAAAAGTTGAATCAGTGAACGAGACAAGCCGTGTGGGATTCGATTGAACGTGTTGCCAGGTACGAACGATGCTAATGGATGATAGAATCGCCGCTGTTTTATATTCTCTCGCTAAATTATTTCTGCAACGATTTCGTTCTTGCTTCTGAGACCCGTTTGCCGCATAATATTCCCGTTCCTTTTCACGGTTAATACTTCGTCATCTTGTCAGCAAAATTTAAGCTCCGTAACATACTTCTCGGGCACAATGATGTAAGAAAGAAACCTATTAGATTACTTAAACGCGGTGGAATAAGACAAATTGTTGATCGCTCGAGCGTTTGAAGATTTCGCAAAATATTCACGACACGCGATCTCGTCTTGTCTCGCAAAAGAACGTCTACTTTGTCGAACAAAGTTCATCACGGGATGATCGCTTTCTAAGAATCGGGACGTCGTAACCGCTGGGAATACGATTAATTGCGTACGACCGCAATTTCTTCCCTCCCAAGGGTATACCCGGTGAAAATGACTGGCGAAGAGTCAGTGAGTTTTCGGAAGGAACGTTTGTTTGCCAATGCCTAACACATCTGCTGTAAGAATCTCGATGCTCGCGTTTAAACACGGTAGTCGACTTTTAATCGCTTTCAATTCAGCCAGAACGTACTCGGAGAACCTGTTGCCAGTAATCCCGTTGATCGAACCTCTCCCATTTAGAAACACCGTCGCTGCGGTTGATTTTCGTTTATCAATCGCGCTTTAAACCTGTCCGGGTTTCACGCGCACACCGTCCACGTGTCATCGCCACGGAATTGGTTGCGACGTGCGTTATCGCGGTTTGCATGTGGCATGTTGATTCTGGTTTTCGTTTAATCCTTTGTATGCCGGCCGATGTGTCATCGATTCATTTTCCGTCCGATGTACGGACCAAGGAATGTTTCAGAAGCTCTCTGTGTACCGTTTTAAAATGGACCGTGGATCTATACGAGCGGTGAAGTATATAGCTACGAGAGAGAAATAGAGTGTTTTCGGCTTTCGTCGTCGGCACGGTGTACAAAGGGTTGAACGCGAAAAGTATCTTTTTTCATGAACTATACGTGCTGCAGACTGTTTTGCAGTCGGTTCGCGCTAAGGTATCTGGAGGTGCCACGGGGGCACGATGAAAAAAGAGTTTCTTTTCGCACCCAGAGAATCGTACGCCTGATCGTGGGGATCGTCGTGTGCAGCCTGGCTGGCCCCGCAAAAGCCGCCAATTAATTAAGATAGCTCCTAGATACACGGTAGATCGATAGGGACTGGCCGTGATAAAGACGGGCGAGGGTTTCAGACTTCAGGGATGTTGCAGTGCTGTGGTGTTGGAGGTGGCGCTTCCACGGCACCTCAGGCTCCGCAGCTGCAGGATACCGGATCTGCTGTTGGGATTACCACCTCCACGAAAACCACCATCATGCAGGACCCGGTTCTTGAATCCATCCTCGAGGTGAGCATCAACGATTCTTCTCTAACCGTTTTTCGATTCTCAAAAGTATCCTTGCGTTCGTACTTTGTCTCATCGTGGATCCGAGATGAATTTCCAAAATTTTTTTCTCCAAATTTTCCGAATTCCTTTTTGATCGAACTTTATTCTCCTCGTTTGCTGCTCGATGGCAATAGCTGCTGATACAATCGGATTAAATTTATCGTACTCGCAATACCACAGAATTAGAATGATTACGTACGACAGGTAATGTGCACGTAATGATTACGTTATGTTCTGAGACGATTCGCGTGATCATTTTCGGCGTGGTGAGAAGCGTATCAACGAGACTATTCACTAGATATCGATGTCCTAAGCGAATTTTGACCGGGCCAAGATTCGCTTTAATTAAAAAGATAACTTACACAGCGTTTTAACAATTTCTGATCGAGCCTCTCGGTTTTTGTTCCCGCGGCTCGATCGTTTTTTACCATTAAGCATATAGTAGTCGAGAGCCAGAGAGTTTGTGTCGGGCACGTTCGATGCAAGTGTAAGTTCGATTGTACTTAGCTCGGAGGCATTCAGAATACAAAAGCCCCTTTCATTACTAATGTCGCGCGGATGATTCTCGTCATGGATCATACTCCCAACTAGGCGTCCCTTCAGGTTATTAACGGTGGTTATCTACCTTCAGCCGCGGGTATTAAACGGAGCTTGACGTTGTATCTCGGTCTCGTATAACTGCTGACGAATTCTTCCGATTATTTACTATGATTACACGTTCGTCAAATTCTTTACCCGTGGCTACAGTGAGTCGAAACGGACGGTCCGTAATCGCGGATTCATTTATTTGTAGCAAATGCGTGAAACGGAAGCTCGAAAAGCAGATCTGGAGCGGCAACATGCGGAAGCACAGAGTCAGCTACGCGAAAAGATAGCAGGACGGTATCAAGGCCCGGAATCGGTCGAGGCATTGCAATCGAAGATAAGAGAGCTCGAGAAGAAGACGGAATTACAGATGGTCAGGCACGAGGAATTGTCTTTGGAACTGACGAGTCTGAGGCGTGCGCGAAGTAGAGGGCCGATGCCGATGATCGGACACTCGACGGTCCCGACCACTTGGCCTCCGGCTGGTTCCGAGATCGACAGAATAATAGCGAAGATAGAACAAGATAATAGGTGCGTTTCTCTCTCGCGTCCTACTGACCTCTCGCGTAGACCAGATCTCGCAGATTCAGAATTTAAAGGACAATGGAGTTTCTATGGTTCATAAATCAGTTCCATACGAGATATATTCTACTGTACTCGGCGAGTACTATGAATAGTAGAGTATTCGCGTTACGAAAATCTCAACGATTATAACGAATGAATATTCCATGAAAGATATTTTGTACTCCGCGAGTGAGATAAAAATATTTCGAAACTGGAAAGTTTGTCATCTCTGCGAAGAGGCCTATTAATATTTCACTTCCGAGCGATCGATACCTCGTTGTTTTCCAACGTCCGTTAATCTTATCTGAGCTTTTTATTTTATCGGTACAGCGTTAACAGGATGGCACACGAATTGGATCATGCTCGGGGCGCCATTACAACGCAGCAACCCTCGGTAACGGTGACACAGGGTATTTTGCGATCTAGCTCAGAGAACCTCCCCAATCTCGGCCAGCATCAGCATCCACCTCATCCGCACGCTTTGAGCCTCGGAATGCCGACTCAACTGGGTCACGTATGTAAATAATCATTCATTTCTGTTCGATCTGCTCGTACGCACCCCTACCCAACCCTCACCAACCCCCGTTTCTCTCGGTACCCGTCCGTTCCCTACCGCGTCTCTCATTCCCCTTTGCAACGAATGCACCTCCATCGAGAATTTGAAACAGTATGCAGGTTCACCCATGCCCCTAACGCCAATGATGCCCGGCTGTCCGCCGTTGACACCGAACGGACCTCCGTATCACTACAGCGAACCGATTCCACCGGCTCCGTCACTCTCCACTAGTCAATCGCAACCGGTGTTCCAACAAAAGATGCAACAATACCAGCAACCGACTCATACCGAGCTGCAAAGCTCCCACTCCCAAACCGCTCTGCAAACACAGCAGAAGCAACAACAAACGCACACCCATTACACGAGCAATCAATACCAGGAGAGTTATCCACATACGCAAACTTATCAGCAGCCGCTCCAGCAGCAACAACAGCCGCAACAACATCCGGCCTCTACAACGTACCTGACGTCATCCAGTCAAAGCGTAATGCCTCATTATACGCAACCCACGCAGACCGCCCAAAGTTATCAATTGAATGGAAGTCAGCAGGTACGAAACCCTTCCGGCGGCAAGTCGGATCTGACCATTTAACGCTAAACCTATGGCAGCTCGATGAAACTCTGACAGACTGGGTCAGATGATCGGTTTAAGATTCTTCTGTCTCACTGTTAAAGCCACAGACGTATGCTATCAAAATCTGAATAACTACTCAAGTAGGTACAAAACGATTTACTGCGAAAGTGCAATTTCTGTAGTCTGAATTACACTCAAATATGAAAACTGTGCGAATCTATCGACGGGTTTAGTGTTAAACGTCGTTCGAACCACCCCGAACATATTGAAACAAAGATGAATCGGGAATTCGCTGTTCGCAGGCAACGACATATCCAAGTTTGTCCATTACGTCGCACCCGAACGGAACGTATAGCACAGGGGCGAGTAGCTTTGGTACTCAATTGTCGCATCACAACTACTCCGTTCCTCAGACGAGCATGCCGCAGACCACGTTATCCTCGTTGCCACCCTATTCGACGAGCTCCTATCATTCAACCCTGGGCGTTCTGACCAGTGTACCGCAAACCGTTCTTCCCTTCTCGAGCGTACAGAGCAGTTTCGCCCCTAGCGGATCGACCTACTCCACCGTCGGGACCAATGCTTTTGGCACATCGGGTGTCAGCTCAGGTACGAATCTTATCCTCTCCCGCGACGACGACGCATACGACGGCGTGTTCTATCGTGTTTCTTCAATTTTTGCCAGGAACCACGTCAACGGGCTTGTTACAAGCGATAAACGATCCCCTCCAAGCGATGCAGCAGCTATCCGCGCAGTCCCAGGCTAATCAGCTTCAGCAGCAGGCGATCATCCAGCAGATTCAACAGAGTTTACGCGCCAGCTCGCCGACGGTTCCCTCGACGACGAGTCACCACTTTCTCAGCCCGAGACAGATGCCGAAGATACCCAGCAGTATACTGTCCAATCCCCTGGATCGACTGACCAACGACAATATCGTCTCCGAGGGTCAAGTCGACATGCTCGACATACCCGGCAAAGGCAGATGTTACGTTTATATCGCTCGTTTCACTTACGAGCCGTTTCAGCATTCGCCTAACGAGAATCCGGAGGCAGAGTTACCCGTACAAGGTGGCGATTATCTTCTCGTTTGGGGACAACCGGACGAAGACGGTTTTCTCGACGCGGAAACGCTCGACGGTAGACGCGGCCTCGTCCCGGCGAATTTCGTTCAAAAATTAATCGGCGACGACCTGTTAGAGTTTCATCAAGCTGTCCTAGGACTCAGGGACGTCGACGACTCCGCATCGACCAACATTCCCCAAGTGAGCAATGTAAGCTAGCTTTGTTCCCGATGCCTCGATCACGAAGTATTACTAATTTATCCTCGGTTCTCGTACAGTGTTATTTACAAGATATCGACTTGGAGTTAGCTGCGTTGGAAGAAGGGAACCGGAATCGTCAAGCCGAATTATCCGCGTACGCGGAGTTGGATAATATCGCGGAGGAAGATGAACAGGAACCACCAGGTTAGTATGTTTTCGTATTCCATTGAGCATGCGAATAGAAACAATACGTGTGTAAATAAATCGCTTCAACGAATGTTTGTGTATAATTGTTGTAATCGAATTTAGATCGATCTAGTTCGATGTTTTACCTCTAGTAATAATTATAGACCTGTCTCTGACTTAAATAGCGATTTGTACGTCCAAGTAATATTGCATATTTCCCTGTTCCAACGTAATTACATACTTTACACAGCTCGTTCGTACAATGTTTCTTCTGAACATTACCCAGCGCGAATATACAAGGTACATACATACATACATACTTGCACTACACACCGTGTACTAATTATGCTTTTTTTCCCGATAGAAAGGCGATTTGGCTGCTTGTAGAATAATCGCTTTTATTAATGGGTCGACGGAAAGTTCGATTTTTATAGAAATTTTAACGGGCTGACGTTCAAATTTTAGAGCACTACATTTATTATAATATACCGATATACTCAGACCTGCCCCGATCTATCCACAAAAGATCGGAACTCTCCGAACCCAGTCGGATAATCTACGATTTTAGGGGTGTACTCAAAAAATTCGAGTCAGGAATTTGTTTCGGATTCCAACGATCTGAGTCACCCCTAGTTTTTCAACGATAGAACAATTGCATGTTATCCGATCGAACGGCGGCTCTGCCTGACAGCAGAGATCTGTGATACAGTCTAAACGGGAATCATTGCACTGTGTTGAGTATTTTGGATGACCTTAAGATGGCTTAGAGAATTAGATAGCTAAAGACTTTTAGCTACAGTTTAGGCTTGTCTTGTCTTTTTTTCTGAAGAAGTCTACCTGTTTTCGGACCTAGTTCCGGCGCCGCAGCATCTCACGCTCGAGCGGCAGCTGAACAAGAGCGTTCTGATCGGCTGGACGGCACCGGAGAACACGCATCAGTTAGAGTCGTACCACGTGTACGTCGACGGAGTGCTGAAGGTGACGGTGAAGGCGACCGAGAGGACCAGAGCGTTGGTCGAGGGAGTCGATTCCACCAGGGTTCGTAGCGACACGTTTCTGTCTAATCGATTAACACCCTTTATCAACTTTCTAGCTGTAGACTCTCTTCTATCGATCGGTATCTTTCCTTAGATTAAACTTTCCTTAGCATGCAACGTGTCATGAGATAAGCCAGTTTGCTCTGTACAAAATGTCTCGTGCAATTTCGCGAGATCTTTTGTACACGTGCAAATCAGCATTTGTCTATGCGGTCACTTGATTTCGTTTGATCGACGATGTAGCCGCACAGAATAAGCGTACGTTCGGTGACGCACTCAAGGAGAACGTCTCGAGACGCTGCTTGCACGATGGTGATCGGGAAGGACGTCGCCTTGGGCCCGACAGCCGTCAAGGCGTCTAACGTGACCGCGACCAGCGCTGACATATCTTGGATGCCGAGTAACAGCAACCATCAGCACGTGGTTTGCGTGAACAACGTCGAAGTTAGAACGGTGAAGCCTGGTGTTTACAGGCACACGATCACAGGACTAGCGCCCTCGACGATCTACCGAGTGACCGTCAAAGCGAAGAATCTGAGGGCGACGCACTTCGAAGACCAGAACACTCAAGCGGCGAACAATTTAGCCTGTCACGTTCACTTTAAGACGCTACCCAAAGGACTACCCGATCCTCCGGTCGATATCCAGGTTAACGATTCTTCTAATTCGTCTCTTCGGGCGATCGTTCGATTAAAATGTAATCGATAATAATCGTACGATTGTCATTGTTAAGGTGGAGGCTGGACCGCAGGACGGCACTTTGCTAGTGACCTGGCAGCCTGTTGCCCTAAACGGTTCGGCCGTCACCGGTTACGCGGTGTACGCTGACGGGAAAAAGGTCACCGACGTAGACAGTCCAACCGGTGACCACGCGCTCGTTGATATACACAAGCTGATGAGCCTGAACCCGAAGCAGATCACGGTCAGAACCAAGAGCAGGGAGAGTCAGTCGATCGACAGCTGCGCCACTGCCATTCCCTGTAACGTTCTCCGCGGTGGTACCGCGGTGCATCTGCAGCACGGACCCTCGCACATGCAGGACCCAGGACAGCAACCTACCGGCGCTATAGGTCAACAGATAGGAGTCGCGGGTCAGAGATATCCGACGGCTCCCGTGGCATCTCACATGAGGAGGCACGCTACCACGAGGGTCGACGCTCACGGACAAGTGATCATCGAGACCGACGAGAATCTGTCCGACAAAGAGATTTATCCCGGCCAGACCATGTCCCAGATGGGTAAGAGTCCATTTCGTAGATCAAACCGATTTTTTTTTCAGTATTTTCTGTTCGAGACATTTTAGCTGTCACGGCGATCAAACTGTACCTCCTTCGATCCTTCTTCGTCCGACCGAAACGGTCGATTGAATGTGGTGAAATTTTGCACGTGATCGCTACTGTCGCTTAGGAGTTCCAGAGATCATCAAGGATTCGGCTAGCGAGCATTACAGCGAGGAGGACGACCCGACGCGCAGGGGTAGGATGCCGGTACATCATGGACAGCATCGGTACGGGCCGCAGATGGGACAGCAGGGTCTACCCGGGACGCACCGGCCAGTGAGGATGGTTGGGCCCACGGGCAGACCGCAGGATCCTTATTACGATCAAGGTTCGTCGCGACTTCAAAGCCATTCACGCTAGATTCACGGACATTTTTTATTTACCTAAGCGTCGATTTTATGCGCTCCGTAAAACTAGTGTCGAGACACTGTACGTGGACGTTCGTTTGCACAAACGTTATTTTCAAATAGGAGGCCAACGGGGCAGACCCGCTGGTTATCGCGGTGGACGGACGATGCAAGCTCAAGGCGGTGCTGGTCATCCGTCGAGCAGTGCCCAACAAATGAACAAGAGAATACGCTGGTTCGTTGCACTGTTCGATTACGATCCGAAAAGAATGTCACCTAACCCGGATGCCTGTGAGGAAGAGCTACCCTTCTCCGAAGGCGACGCCATCAAGGTCTGTTTCAATAGAATTTTTAATTACCAGACTCTGGATTTTTATTTAGCGAAGATATCCACGTAAGAAAGTGCATCTGTTCTATAGAATACCTAAATATACATAAATTCCGCATCGTGAAATTACAAAAATCTGTATAAACGGATCACGTTCTACGAAATATGATAATATTTGCATAAAACTCCGCAGTCTATCAGATCGCGTTTCAAGAAAGCTTGGCTCATGTTTATTGATTCGATAGGTGTACGGCGAGAAAGACGCGGATGGATTTTACTGGGGAGAGTGTCACGGCAGACGGGGATACATTCCTTATAATATGGTCGAGGAGATCAAAGATCCTAATCAACCTGGACAAGGCCAATCGGGAAGGAGAGGCAGATGGGGCGATATTTATAGCAACATGCCCGTCAGGAAAATGATTGCGCTCTACGACTACGACCCTCACACACTGTCTCCGAACGTTGATTCTGTAAGACGTTTAATCGACCGACCTCTTACCGGAGGAGCTGAAATATTCACGAGACTACGATTTGATTTCGCAGAGCGCGGAGTTGGCGTTCCAGACCGGGAACGAAATCTACGTCTACGGTGATTTGGACGAGGACGGGTTCTATATGGGCGAATTAAACGGAGTGCGCGGCTTAGTTCCGAGTAATTTTCTCACCGAAGCGCCGGATCAACCGCAGCAAGGACAGCCTCCGGGAAGTAGGAGGCCGCCTGGTCAGAGCCAAGGACCCGGGGTCAGAGGACCGCCGCCACCGCCGCGAGAACCGCCTCCACCTGGTCACCGTCGAGGCAAAGGTAAATGAAACTGACCGCAGTATCTTTTGTTCGTTACAATAAACAGCTCCTCAAGCCAAGTACGTGACGTAGCCGAACCTTTTCCGATATTCCTCGAACATCGTGAAGCGATGAGAAGTTGAATTTCGAAAAATGACAGAGTAAACACGAACGCAGCGGATAACCGAACGCAGTGCTAAACAGGATCGAGAACGATCTCTATGAAGATTTAATACGAAACTGGCTCGAGGGGTTCAAGTAGATTCACACTGGCGCCACGAGTTAAACTGCTCGAACTTGAAAACTGCGGTTGCGAAACAAAATCACTTTTTAAAACCGGAAGAAATGATACGAAGAAGAATTAAGAAAATGCTGGAACATACGGACGTCAGTGTGAATAAAAAAAAAAGTACAAACGGCAAGCAACACAAGACACGAAACTAGATGTGCCAGACGACAGGCAGAAGGGCCACACAAGCTTACGATCGAGCGATCTTGCTGAGGGCCCGATCGCTGTTATTCGAAGCAGATCGTTTTTTTTAGGGGGCTCTCTCTACATTGCAAAATTACAGAGAGAATTGCGTAACAGAGTAAAACAGCGTATCGATAAGGCATTTCGAGTAAGTCACACGGTGCGCTTCAGGAAATATTAATTTTTAAGTAGCATTTTTTTAATAGCAAAGTTCTAGGAACTCGCAATTGCAATATATATTTTTTTCAAGTCCTCGTATAACGAAATGAATGTGTCCACGCAAAATATGTGAGAGCTATATTTGCAAACTTTTCTAGGAACACGTCTCTATTTGCCATATGCAAAACGATTTTTCTATATCTCTACCTTCTATCTATATCTATATCTCTATATTCTATCTATATATTTCTATACATATATATAATATACAATAAAACACTAAGCTGCTTTCAGTGTTTTCTATTAAGTATGATATACATACATGATATCTATGTATGTATCTACCATCTACGTATGTATTATATATATATTCGTACCTTTACTTTCCGAGTACTTTTCGGCTCTGTTACTTTTTTACGTGCCTATCTTTTTCCTCTAATATATATATACATATATATATACGTGTTACATTTTACGCTATGATATACATATACATATATACATATGCATGTGTGTAAAAGGATCTATATGTATATATATGTATGTATATAATTATACTGCGTGTACATTCTATATAAACGACATAATCTGTTTCTGTGTGCCTGAACTGGTCGATGGTCGTCGTGTCACATGATTGTCGTTCGTGTCGTGTTGTCATGCTGGCCATTTAGACGTTAAAGAGATTTTCTAACGATTCGTTTTCCGTTGATGAATCGCGATGTACAGACTTCGTGTCGCGAAACGTAAAGTCGCGAGAGTTGTTTAATTGAACGCGCGAGTCCAGGTCTTCCCGAGTAATTGACACCTTTGCCTCTTCACACGAATCAGCAAACGGCTAATAGAAATTAAAGAGTAGCAGGCATAGCTGCGATAGAGTGATATTACTCGGTGGACACCCGGCGGTGCGCCTGAATGTTCGATTTAAAAAGAGATAAATGCGCCATGAATGACAACACGGTCTTGTTCTCTTCTCTGTTGCTAGATGCCTGCATTGTGCCTGTGTCTGTCCCTGTCTGTCACTTAGACTCTAGACAACAACAACAACAACAACCATCACTAATGAACAACCAACAACATCAACTCCAACATCAACAAAACAATCCACCGCATCTAGCGTACCAACAAGCGAATCACCACAGCTACACGACTGTAACCACGTCCAACCAACATGGGCCCACGCCCATGGGTGCCCATCAGCAAGGGCCCGTGCCACCCCACCTTCAACAGCAGGTGAGTCCTATTGCTCTCTATCAATGACTTTTTCACTTCCGCTTATCGACGTGCTTATTAATTTTCTACCGCCCGATCGTCTCTTCACCGTCGTACCTTCAGTTTGCCACGTCTCTTCATATTTTCCTACATTCCATTTTATAGTATAGTAGAAAATACCTTCAGAATGATAATCGAGTCGATGATTCAGGTACGTTTCTTTCATGGTTCTATGCAAACTAGTGATGTTGAACTTTTGCCGAGGCAAATGTTCAATAGAAAATCACACAGTATTTGTTTCAACACTGTGTGCGCTCGCGCGAGCCGCTTCTTCGCATCATTACATTTTATATTGTCGCTTTGAAACGATTGACGAACGATTCCGACATCAATGATACAGACAGAGAAATTCTACAGTACACTTGAAAACTATGGCTATTTTGCATCAATTCGCACTTACCAAATTATAGTACTTCGACTCGTGTAACTCTGATCTGAGAAAAGAAGTGTAATTATCGATACGAGAACAGGCATAAAATTCTAATGCATTTGAAGTCGACGGTCGCATCGACGAAGCGATAGTATGCAAATAGTTTGTTATCAAACGCTTTTAATTAATGTGTCGTACGAGCATGATAATTAGTCCAATGCGTAAATTGCACGAACACGCAGTAAATTAAGCTTCTCCAATAATCAACGACTCTATAAACTACTTTCTAGGTTTCAATTCTCTCTATCTCTCTGTCTCTCTTTCATTTCCTCCGCTTTCGTTACTCTTCCGCCTCGGATACATTCTTATTTGCCGTAAAAACTGACACATCGATCGACAGTAGGTTACTGAATTAATTGGACAGGTGTTCAAGTTTTGTTGCGCCTTGTCGTTAGTAACGTGTGTACACTTTAGAATACGTACGTTCACATACCGTCGCCCCCTTCCACCTCATTTAGGTGATTATACATATCGTTGAAAGAACGCATAGATCGATTTACGCAGAGACCACAACGGAATGCGATACCGGCAAAGAGGCTGACCCTTTCTTTTCCGCCGTTCGGAAAAGATATCCCTGAGGCCCTCCGAGACAAGGGCTCCCATTTTTGCACGCAGTAAGCTGTACTTGTCCCCGACAACTTCGTCCTCCGATTCCCCGTTATTTCGGCGCAGCAGGGAACGACATCGCTCTGCGTAAATCGACTTTTGATCTCTCACAGAACATCATAGGTCTGCGGCATACATAGTAGGAAAGAACCGAGTTATCATTAAGAATCGTGCGAGACGATAGATGCGTTAATGTTCAATTACATATAGAATCGAGAATCAGCGGATACCGCATGACGAACAAGGAATCCGTTCGTTTAGAACAGGGATTCCTAACGGGGCCGATGGCCGAACACGCATCGGCAATTATGTAATCGAGATCACATTGATCGCAATGGGATTATGTGCAATCAGCTACTAAGCAGAAATCGTGACGTCAACAGAAAATGCGACATTTACATTTTATTCGTATTACGTATCATGTTGTACGCTGTACGTTATTGAGAAAGATGTAAGCTGTGACGGAGACCTGTTATGAAAATTCATTCTTTCGAGAGATTTGGGAATCCCTGGTCTAGAATAGACATCCGTTCAAAGTTTTGCGATCCAGAAGCCTTTGACCTAAACGTCGAATCTCGCAGATCGCTAGATAATGTTCGAACCGACCAGATCGAGAGAACGAAAAGAATCGCACGAGCTCCGAGGGAGATCTGTGTTCCATTAATTGGTGACGCTTTAATTTTTAGGGGAAGGGGAGGGGAGGCGCGGTCAATCGTTGTAGTAATGTGCCGGGAGGTATGCAGGGCCCTGGACAGCATATGCAACAGCAGCAGGATTACCAGCAACAGAATCAACCGTATCAACAGCAACAGCCAGGTCAGCCGAATCAAGGCTATCAACAACAGGGTCAAGCATATCAACAGCAAGGTCCAGGGTTCGGGCCACAGGGCCAACAGTTCCAACAGCCGCAGAGCCAGCAACAGCAGCCGCAGCAACAACAGAATCAACCGTATTCGCAACAGAACCAGGGCCCTTCGATGCAAGGCAGTCAGAGCGCGAGCAAACCGATGAGGGGGATACCGACGGTGTTGCCTACGCCTCAGGCGAAGACTCAACCGCCACAGGGACAGCAACAATCGCAACAGCAACAACAGCAGCAGCAACCGCAAAGTACGGGGCCGAATCTGATGCAAAAGTTCACGGAGATGGCCGGCGCGAGCGCCGGCGGCGATATTCTGTCGAAAGGGAAGGAGTTAATCTTCATGAAATTCGGTCTGGGCAAGTGAGCTATCACCCTGGCCGTGTCGCCAGTTCCGCTTCTTCTCCGTACACGTCCTATCGCGTTCTCATGGATCCATGATGAAAGACCGCGGATCGCGTGATCAGATCGATAGGCCGATCGATTTGAATACGAGAGGGAGAAGGAACGAGTGGGACCGTGAAGAATAAGCGAGACGAACGTACGAACGCGTCTCGTCATCAGATCAGGTCTTCGCCAACGAGAGGTGTTATCCGAAGGAACATGAGAGATGTGTGCTGCCACTGCTGCTGCTGCTGCTGTTGCTGTTGCCACAGACAGTGATTCATTTTTCGCAAACCATTGCTGAAGGAGTTTTGCTCGCCCGTCAGTGCCATCTCCCGTATAATAGTCAAGGAAGAGAAGAGAATAATAATTATAATAATAGGGAATGCTCGCGAGCGTTTTTCTATAACGACCCTAACGAAAACTGTTCGAGGTGATAGTCGAACTCGACGCGAAATCGCTTACGATCGTCTCTTTGAGGTACGACGTTACCCTGAAGAATAACGAGAAGAATCTTCTGATTCCTCATTATATCCTTGTTCTGATCTTCTTTATTTTTTCGTACGATCCATTAGTTTGAACTTTTAGATCCTGGAATGAAAATCCACATGATCGAACGAATTATTAAAACGAATCGTCGACAAAGATATCGTCCACGATCGAATAGACGTCGATAGATATTGATTAGATTGATAATGATCACGTACACGAAGATCGAGATAAACATAATCCGTTGGAAACAAAGAGAAAGTAAAAATTATTGCTCGATTGTTTGTTTTCGAAGTTTAAATCGTAAAAATCTCGCTTATCATCCTACATTCTTAGAGGTGTCATACTTTCCATAGGAAACACGAGATTAGCTAAGAATAGATTCTGATTCTTGTTCTTTGCACCGTCTATCAATTTAATTCGTCCCATTTTCTGTTCCCCTCGGTCAGTTCTTTCGTTTCGTTAACACATGATTTCTCACCGAGTCATTTTAGCGACAAAAGTAAACGAACAATAGCCAGGTAGATAAACGCGATCGTTCGTAAAAGACTAAACGGGGAAAGTAGCACCTTGTCGTGCTCGAGCACGACTGCACGAGTAAAAAAATATTTTACAAGACAGAAGCCAAACGATAACGAAGAAAATTTACGCGCTAATGTAATCGTAACGGAGGATTTATAATAGGATGAATCGTGGAACAACTTGAACTATTCCATAAATTATATAAATATATAAATATATAAATAAAAAGCAACCAAGTAAATAAATGAATTAATAAATATCGCTCCTAGGGAAGGGGGCGTGAATTCGACCGATAAGAAGAACGCGTTATCGGGAATGTATGTGGAAAATCACAGCATACGTATAATATTATACGGTAATAAAATATAAATATATACATATGCATATACAGATGTGGGCGGGTTCTTCTACACACGCGTATACGCGTACGACGTGTATAATACAGGTACCCACGCGCATGCAGATATATACACATAATAATAATAATAATAATAATAATAATAATAATAATAATAATAATAATAATAATAATATTAATAATAATAATATTATATTTAACTATTGCAAAGTGTTGTTACATCGCTACTTGTATCGTATTTTGTACAAAGTATCCTTACCTTCAATTGTTCTTTTTCTTTCGCCGTGATATAAATATATAAATATGAAAAAAATATATATATAAATACTATAAATATGCATGTGCACGTGTATACATGTGAGCGTATGCACGCGTATGTGTATATACGCGTATATGGAGAGGATATCCTTAGAGAGACGAAGGAAGTGTGACAAATTCAAAAGTCATTTTGCCAGTATCACACTTTGGGAATCATAAACCAAACTTGGCGTAATTGTTATTAAATATCGCGTGTACCTATATCTGTTTTGGAACCGACAGTTGCCTCTCGCCCGTTCGTGTTAATCGAGTGTCGACAGATAAGGAAATTAAAATTAACGAAGCGTAATTAGCATTATGGGGTGTCAAACGCACGGTCCGATCAATCGTTACGAGACGATTATTTACCTTCTCGTTATCGTTAGAATTGTATCGAATCGCCTGGTCTCTATGACGTGAGTCGAGCTTTAATACAGGATATCTCACCCGATTTTCTCGATATCGTAGCTGAAAGCGAAGGTTTGAGTTTAACGAGCCAAATTTCAGGCACGTGTTTCTTTTAGCTGATTCAGGTGTAACCCTCCAAAGTTAATTGCTATCAATATAATGTTTCAAACGATACCAGTCGAGCATCCTTTCAAAAAACGTTTCGTTACGAGTAACAAAAGCGAGAAAATCAAGACGTCAGAATCGAGTGAGGCACCGTACGTATATTATTGCCTTTCTTCTCTCTTATTTAGAATCTAGCCTAGAGAATATAAATAAACGATCTAGACAAAGGAGAACAGAATTTATCTTTTAAGGAATGGTGTATGGTTTTCTATATGATTAATTTTGGACCATGAGTTTGAGCTACCCTTGGTAGCGCTATAAAATTTATAACTAGCGATGTAATCGGTTTCGAGGGCTTTGCTTTTGCGATATCGGCCACCGTGAATCGCGTCCAACGAGCAAGAATTACGGAAACTGTGTATACTATGAATACATATGTAACTAAAGGACCAAAGTTTCTTAAGCGACCAATTCGGCTATTCAGAGGTAGAATTCGTTTCTTGTTTCTTTACGACAGACACGTTTCCTTTTCGCCTTATTCGCAACACTTGAAATAGAAGACGAACGAACGACTATATATTTTTTATTAACGTTTACAACTTGGATGTTTCGAAATCGTAGGCGTTTGTGATCGATAGGCGCGAGAATATGTGCGACGTGTAAGTACGACACGTAATACTTGTTCGACGCGCTCGATTCGCGATGCACGAAATTGCAAAATCAATCTCGGTTGATCTCGTGCGGCTCGTATTCGCGCGAACGTCGAGAACCAAAAGTTTTGCCTGAATCAAAAAATTTGCTCGAACGGATAAATACGCTTTCGACACTGTTCTTTGAGGCGTTACTTGATCCATTGGAAATGAAACCGTGTAGCAATCGTCTGAATATGATTTAATAGCTTGTACTCGCGAAGTAGCTGTACCAAACTCATGGATGAAGCGATTCTTCTATTCCGAAGGTATGGACAATTGAATTATATAATTTGCAGCTTTAGCATAAAGTAAAACAAATGCCTCTGTTCCAATGAAAATTCCGATGTTCGTGGGTTTGGGATAGAAGCGGTAGATACTATTAGACTTTATCGCGGTTGTTTAGGTTTCTCGAAAAATCGAATAATTCAGTGTAAAGGGATTCTAACTAACTTATAAGCCTGTCGATTCTAATCTAGCTCCAATGGATCGAGTGGGAGACGAGCTCCTTTTCCTTGATCTTCGTCCGATAGAACCCCTAACGCGCGATCTCGGATTAAAATGCGCGGATCGATGTCAGAATTCCTACGAATCTTTGCTGTGAACATATCTAATGTGAAACGTTGATTCAGGCGATTAAAGGAAAAAAGAAAAAAAAAGAAAAAAGACTGACGTGACATTTAAGATCTTACAGGTACTTTAACACGTTCGCTACCAGCGTCGGGATCGATCGGCGGAAGCTTAACAATTTTTAATTCTCGAGACTTGGTCGATCCGTTCAGAGGTTCAAACCAAAAAAGGTTAATTGATAATAAAACGTTGCGACGTTCGCGGAAATAAATTCGAAGAATTATTACTGTCAACGAGAATAAGAGGAAACGACTAGTAGCCTGTACAATAAAACTTCGTTCGAATGGTAGTGAATGTGTTAACTATATATTACTTAGCAAATCTGTAATGTTCATCTTCCATCTCTTTAATATTTTCTTTCCCGTACCTTCTATTTCATCGTTAAGTTTTATAGAGATTAACAGAAAAAGCGTCATATAGCGGATCTAGTTGAAAAGATAAACGCGAGAAACGTATGCGAGGAGGAATCTGGAATCAGTGTAAAATGTAGCTGCATCGAATATGTACGAAAACAAAATACTGGAAGCGTTACGAGGAGACTTCATCTATTATCGTTAGGTGTTAGGCATCATAAAAGAACTCAAGTAGTCTTAATAAAATGGCAAACAAAAAGAAAAGGGGAGAATAACGCGAGGGAAGAGACGACCCGTTTCAAGCGTCCTACGTATCGAAATCTATGTTCTGTCTTTTTTCTCTTTGTGACCAAATCTTAGGAGATAATAATTTTAACAACAACAGGAACAATAAGATCACGCAATGCAACGCTCGAAACATGATTATTAAAGGGTAACGAATAAAACTGTATTCGTTAGTCGATACTTTTTGTTTAAAAAATACGGAATGTATAAAAGTAAGAAAACGAGTGCAGACTGAACCGTAAATAACTCTACAAAATTAAATAAAATTGAAAACTAAAGCAAAGTATAATGAAGAAATTAAGTGGGGGGAGGAGTTAATAAAAAAACTCTTATTGTTAGAATACCTCGAAGTCGTTTCGTTCGTCGTCGACACTCATTTTACGTAGTAATCTCACTTGTACATTGTCATTGTTATAAATTTAGTCGTTGAATGGATTCATATAAAAAAAAAATCTTTTGATACCGCGACAGCTGACACAACATGAATCGCAAATGTAAGCCGAGCCGAGGATAACGCATATGTGTAATGTCCGAAAATAAATAAGAAAAACGATCGAGGATCGACGTCGGCTCGATCCTCTTTCGGTGAAAAAGACCGTCTAGAAGTGGGCGCACGAAATTCGTTTGATTCGATCGAAAGGAAATGAATTGATTACGAAAATAAAGTACATAATATCGGTGTTAGGTCTCTCTCATACTAAAAACTCTCTTTCACAAAAGTGTTTTCCACATCCTGAGATGAAAAAAAAAAAATAGATGTACACATGCGTTATATTTCGATCTAGATAACGGTTAGGTGAATGACACACGATATCCCAGACAGCTATTAGCGACCAGTAAATTAAACCTTCTTACGGAGGATCGAAGTTTCGTTCAGAATTGTAGCACTTTGTTCCGCGAAAACACTTTATGGAAAGACGAAAGAAAGAGGAAGAATGCGGATGCGTGTGTACGTATGTATGCTGATCGCGTATATTCGGTAGGGTGGAATAAAAGTACTTACATGGACAAGAGCGTGAGAGGAGAAGTCAATCGCAGAACGGAAAGTAGAAGATCCGAGGTGCATACTTCGATATGGTGTTATTAGCTAGACGCCAATTACTGTCATTCTTTCTCTTGGATCGATACCCTAAGATTGTATAAACAGAGCGTAGCGAAGAAAATGAAATGAAATCAATTATATACACTCATACGACTTTTAATATAACAAATTATCGTATCGATTAAGCATGTCGAATCGTCAGCTACGTTTGTCATTCAGTAATCTTGCGCTTTGTTTTTTCTATGAATCGATACGTAAAGATCTATTCCTTGTTAGCCCAATTGAAATGTCAGGAAAAAAAACTGATGCAAAAGAGAAAAATAAACAAAAAACCCAATGTTATTATAAATGATCAATTAATAAAAGACGAATCTTGTTTGTTGTTACTTTTTGGTATCCTCGACAAGTCCTTTCCGTTAAGCCCGGTGTTTGAATTAAGATTTTAACTTTAAACGAAATTACAAGCAAACGATATATTTTAACATAACCCTCGGATTCATTCTTTTTCCGTCCCCAAAATACGAAGGAGATAGCAAAAAATTTACACGGTACATACTTGAATCTCGGTCTTCAGTACTCTTCGAGTTTTCAGGCCATCCATTCTCACCTTATCAAAGATACATTTATATAGGTTTTTCGCAATTGCAACTCAATCATTATTCTCATCAGTCACATCATTCTCACAACACTAATTGAAAATTAACTCAGGAAGCTACACTTGAACGAGAAATTGTGAACTAAAACTCTGATATAAGAATTGAAACTACTCGCGACATTCGTAATTCACAACCACGCAACTCTGCAATCGCAACCGCGGGAAAATTAAAAAGTACGCCGCTCTCAATTCTCACTATGACAGCCGCATTTCACTATTTCTCAACGCACGTATTGTCGTCGATATAGAATAGACCAACTTTCAGTCAATTATTTCAATGAGCATGGAAGTACTTTATTTTAATATGAACTATCACGTTACAGAATGAATACGTACAGACATAGATACATGTAATTAAGCAATACATGGATTTTGAGTATCGTGGAGACTAGCACAGTTTATAGAAGAGTAATGTATTAAATGATTTATGTATCCTCTTCCCATACGGTTTCAGTCAGAATAGCGATATTATCTAAGCCCCTCATCGGCGCATACTCTAAAGTCCACATTACGTTAGTAAAAACAACTGAAATCCACAGGATAGATATTCGGATTAGTTTCCTTATCGGCAATTCGATGTTCCTTAGCTAATTATTCAACTTACGCATCTCGCCTTGACGCAAGTCTGCTATTAACTCGGGACAAGAGCTGTTGCAAGGATTTATAGGAGTTAACCGAAGCTGCGTGGCTCCCCGCAGCTGAGCCAGGGCGATGAGACCTGAATCCAGCTCGACCTTCTTATAACTTGGACTATTGTAATCCGAGGACATGAGGACCCAATTAAAATGCGCTGGCGAGACGGTACTTGAAAGGAAGTACGGCCGCTGATAATATTTCCTCAGCACCTTCACCGCATTGATGTCGCAGTTCTGCCAGTGAACAAACCACTTGGCCACTTCAGGCGAATGCACCCGGCGTAAGAATGCTGCCAAGTCGGACGAGCCAGTCCTCAGATTTGATGTCAGAGCACATGGCACTGTTTCCATCAAACGCTCGTTTTCTAAATAAAGCTGTTCATACAGACGACTTATTTCTTTTCCTACATTTCATATACTACTTGTACATGATATTGCTAATGTAAATCTCTTTACTTACATGAGTAATGTTCTCAAACCAAAAGTAATCAGTGTTCATCACTGCCCAAGAATCCATTGCATCAGTGATAATTGCAGGTGCATCCCTGCTCAAGTAATTATCAACGAGATTCCGATATCTGACATCTGACAAACGATCAATGGTTTCTAGAGCTTCGCATGTCTGAAAATTTCTGTATAAGTTACATCAAATTTAAATCAGGAAATTCAATCATCAATGAGCATACCACACAATCTTCTTCTGTTATCATGTAGTCGCTGTAAAAGGGATTATTGATCATGCAATTCTCGTAATACAAAGGTTGCCAGTTCCACATGGGCAGAACTTTAATAAGCAAAAGACGACTGATTGCAGTAAAATGGGTTCCAACAAAATCGAGCTGAGCTGCCAGGCAGGCCAAAGTACCAAGTACAATCAGTACAAGTGTTCCTCTGAAAACAAGTTGCAACCAGGATCGTCTCATTGCAGCTACTAACGGTTGACAAATGATATCCATCTCCTCCTCTGTGAAACCAGCCTGCTGACAATATCTGCAAAAAAATAATACATATGTATTGTAGTGGAATCATTGCTAATATTGATATTTCAACACGTGAAGTGAAAACATTGTTTCACATGTACGTGTTCAATGAATTAGAATTATTTTGTAACGTAGTAATTGATTAAAAAAGATTTACTTGTAAAATGCATTTAATTCGTCGTCTATTAATCGCAGCTTTTCCGAATGGGTCATTTCTTGCTGCTCCTTCACATAATTCTTTCGCAATTGCTTCACGCATTTGCTATTCGACATTTTTACGTCTTTAATGTAACACAGATCGCCTTATTATCCGTAAAATTCGCGGAGTACACCGGCCGTAGCTGGAGAAACAAACCAGCTCTTATCGAACAGAAATATCGTTCGTACATGCGCACATTTTCGGATTGCCTACTGCGAATATATTGATTGTTATTGCAGTTGTTGGAGTTGAAAATGTCGCGGGAAAATCTGATCCTGGTTCTATAGGTTTCCGTCCAACAAAAATGTACAAAACAAAAATAAATAAAGGAAAGTATTCTCCATTTCTACGCGTCTCGTGAAACAAAATAATCGTAAGTTTAAAATTCAGTAAAAAATATATGTAAATCAGCTGAGAGCTGAGTCAGGGCAGACATTAGTCAGCTGATAATGATTGATAAAACTCTATTGTGTCAGTAAACAATTATTTCTTGGGTGAAACAGTTAAAATGTGGAAATTAAATGTAAAACCTTTCGACCGTCAAACAATTTCTTATCATCTTTATCAGTTAATTAACAGCAATTAGTTTTCCTTGCAGGCTTTCCGTTCTTGTCAGTCTATACATTTTGTACATGCATTTGAAATTAACATAGATATAAGTAATAGCCTGATGTGCGAATATATACATGCTTGGTATTCGTGAAATTCGTAAACGTGCAATAAAGTACTCTCGTTTATCGTACTTATACTTTGCCCCCTCTTTACAAAGTCAATATCTACGTACGACGAGTTTACATCTAGCTTACTGTATAGCGTATCCATCAAGGGGCGCGGTAGCGGCCCGAAGGCAAGTTTGATATAATAAACACGAAGATATACGTTAGACAAAGCTGAATATAATTGCGTGTATAGTAATTAAATCCCATTACTTGCCAAAACACTTGTTATTCTAGGCAAACTAGATAAAGATGCACAGAATAAAATTATTCGGTAAGTCTACTTTCATATAAAAAATATTTCTATACTTTTCAAAGGTAATAAGTAATCATTTTCAGTTCCCCAAGCCAAGCGTAACATAACTACAGTGTACAGTAATGTTACTCGAAATATTGCTGCCTTATCTATGCTGCCAGATACCTATCAGATGTTACAAAAGACATGCAAGTACATACATACTCACTCTTTCATTTGTTTGTCTACAATTATATGATGGCATTATGATTTAAGTCTTTAGTCGAGTTCGATGCAAATTGCACATGTAATGATTTTAATTCCAGAGATTTCGCAGACGGTGAACTAAAGCCCGTAGCAAAAGAAATTGATAAAAATCATCTTTATCCAGAAGAGAAAATAAAACAAATGGGAGAGCTTGGTTTAATGGCCATAACAGTTCCTGAAAGATTAGGTGGAACTGGACTCGATTATTTGGCTTATGCTATTGCACTGGAAGAAATATCTAGAGGTTGTGCCAGCGCAGGTGTTATAATGAGCGTGAACAATTCTCTTTATTTAGGGCCCATAAATTCATTTGGTAATCAAGAACAACAAGAAAAATATATTACTCCTTTTGTAAGCGGCACGAAAGTTGGGTGTTTTGCCCTTAGCGAACCTGGGAATGGTAGTGACGCAGGTGCTGCATCTACTACTGCTAAATCGAATGGGTCCAACTACATAATCAATGGTACAAAGTCCTGGATAACAAATGGGCATGAATCAGAGGCAGCTGTTTTATTTGCTACGACTGATAAGTCTAAAAAGCACAAAGGAATAAGTGCTTTTATCGTTGATAAACCGATAAAAGGCCTCTCCCTTGGTAAGAAAGAAGATAAGTTGGGGATTCGTGGTAGCAGTACTTGCTCACTGATTTTCGAAGATTGCGAAATACCAAAGGAAAATCTATTGGGAGAACTGGGAATGGGTTTTAAAATTGCGATGATGACACTAGGTAAACAGAGCGACTTTACGAGTCGAACATCTGAATATGTAATAATTACACATTTATTTTTAGATGCTGGCAGGATAGGTATTGCTAGTCAAGCCTTAGGCATAGCTCAGGCGTCACTCGACTGTGCGATTGAATATGCGGCGAAACGTGAAGCGTTCGGCAAGCCTATCGTCAAATTACAGGCAATTCAACAGAAGATCGCTGACATGGCAGTGAAATTGGAAAGCTCGAGATTGTTAACGTGGCGGGCAGCCGTGCTCAAGGACAAGGGGCTATTGTATACGAAAGTACGAAGAAACAAAAGAAGGAACCACTTCTACGTACAGATGAAAATGAACAGAATCTGATTCTTTAATTTGTTAGGAAGCGGCTATGGCAAAATTGGCAGCGTCAGAGGCCGCGACTTTCTGCGCTCATCAATGCATACAAATCTTGGGTGGCATGGGCTACGTTAGCGACATGCCGGCCGAACGGCATTACAGAGACGCTCGGATTACTGAGATTTACGAAGGTACATCAGAGATACAAAGATTGGTGATTGCTGCGAACGTTATCAAAGAATACGGCCTGAATTAAACTGTTCGGTTTAGTATACGTAATTTTTTTACCGACATTCTTTATACATGCAAGCAAGATATTTTTATATATTTTTAATATACGAGAAGTTAGTCAATAAATTTTATATATTATAACTTGTTGGTAATCATTTTTTCACATGATACACTGTCACAAAATATATCTGTGCATATGCATAATTTTATACATACACTACATTTACAGTACCACACTTTTGCAACGTTGTACGAACTTCGATTCGCGGTCTCTATACCCTACCAGTTTTAGGGTAATGGCTAAAATCAGCCATCGATTGAAGTAACTTCAACGCATACAGACGATAGATACTGCTCGTAACGAGATTTTATTTGAAAATCTCTAATACTATCATAATTGATCGATGAGATCGCGCACATCGAACTTGAACGCTAAAATTCATAACTGAGCAGCGGAAATGCTGATACTCCCTGTATTAAGATTTTCAAGAATAAATGGTTGCTCTCTCTAAATTGCCGTTCTAAAGCTATCTTATACGCTACTCTATTAGATCCCAGTATAACAGGTAACAGTTTACATATAATTTGTGCAAACGACAATTACAGTTCTTGTACAACTATACTTGGTCGAATACTTTTTTACCTTTTTTCTTTTTATTTCATAGAAGCAAACATGTTGGATACGATGTTCTATTTGTTGTACAGAGATCTATCGGAATGCAAAGAAACGTATATGTATAAGTATGTATA